GGGCTTCAGCAGTACATGAACCGTGAACTTCCAGATATTCAAGCTGGATTTAGAAAAGGCAGAGGAATCAGAGATCAAATTGCCAACATCCATTGAATCATTGAAAAAGCAAGAGAGTTCCAGAAAAACATCTACTTCTGTTTTGTTGACTCTGCCAAAGACTTTGACTGTGTGGATCACAACAAACTGTGTAAAATTCTTCAAGAGATGGGAATACAAGACCTGCCTCCTGAGGAATCTGTATGGAGGTCAGGAAGCAACAGTTAGAACTGGACATGAAGCAACAGACTAGTTCCAAATAGGGAAATGAGTACATCAAGGCTGTATATTGTCACCCTGCATATTTAACTCACATGCAGAGTACATCACGCGAAAAGCCAGGCTGGATGAAGCACAAGCTGTAATCAAGATTGCCAGGAGAAATATCAATAACCTCAGATATGCAGATGACACCACCCTCATGGCAGAAAGCAAGGAAGAACTAAAGAGCCTTTTGATGAAAGTGAAAGGGGAGAGTGAGAAAATTGGGTTAAAGCTCAACATTCAGAAAAGTAAGATCATGGCATCTGGTTCCATCACTTCATGGCAAATAGATGGGGAAATAGTGACAGACTATTTTGGGGGGCTCCCAAATCTCTGCAGATGGTGAGACCACAGCCATGAAATTAAAAGACGCTTGTTCCTTAGGAGAAAAGCTACGACCAACCTAGATAGCATATTAAAAAGCAGAGACATTACTTTGCCAAGAAAGGTCTGTCTAGTCAAAGCTATAGTTTTTCCAGTAATCATGTATGGATGTGAGACTGGACTATAAAGAAAGCTGAGCACTGAAGAACTGATGCTTTTGAACAGTAGTGTTGAAGACTCTTGAGAGTCCCTTGGACTGCAAGGAGATCCAACCAGTCAAATCTAAAGGAAATCAGTCCTGAATATTCATAGGAAAGACTGATGCTGAAACTGAAACTCCAATATTTTGACCACCTGATGCGAAGAACTGACTCATTTGAAAAACCCCTGATGCTGGGAAAGATTGAAGGCGGGAGGAGAAGGGAATGACAGAGGATGAGATGGTTGGATAGCGTCACTGACTCAATGGACATGAGTTTGAGTAAACTCCAGGAGTTGGTGATGGGACAGGGAGGCCTGACGTGCTTCGTTCCATGGGATTGCAGAGAGTCGGACATGACTGAGCAACTGAACTGACTGATTATGTGCAGATACTATTCTGGGTATTGAGGATAAGGGAATGAATAAAATGGTCTACAACACATAATACGTCAAATGGTGCTAAGTAGTATGAAGCAGGGAAAGTGAGGATAAAAGGGATGGATAGTGAAGGACGTGCTACTTAGTATAAAGGGCAAGGGAAATCTCTGACAGGGTGATGTTTGAATAGAGATAATACATATAAGGGCCCATATCAGATTAACTTAAAAATTGTGATGTTATAATTGAAAATTATGGGCTATTATTTATAGTCTCCTTTTATATTACACATGAATAATATGAAAATTAAGGACTCATTGATAATGGTAATTTTTATTTTTTATAGAAAATTAAGTAAGATAAAGAACTCTTGAATATCTCTTAAGTATAATTGAAAAAATATTCAAATAATAATGTTTTATTATATCTTAATGTTATAGTCAAGAGAGTCATACATTTTTCTAACTGTAAATTTCAGAATTGAAGGAGCCAAAAGGAATTTAGACAGAACACTGGGTAAAAGAACATCTTCATCACCAGAGCCAGATTATCCTCCAACTGTAGGTTTATATTTTCTCTTTAAAAACTATTATGATATACTATTTCAACTATTGTTTTATGTCAATCTCAATATAACTAGTGTTTTTAAAGAATAATGCATATATTTAAAACTTTATACTTCTATTAAAAATAGTAAAATTACTTTAAAAACTTTCTTGATTTAATTTTATCTTATTTGTTTGTTTTTGACAGATGACCAGTGAAATTAAAAAGAAAGGAGTGAGTTGAATTTTTTATATTTCTTGTTTTGAAAATGTTCAAGCTGTTACAAAGTAGTTCCTTCTAAGACCACCTGCTATATTCCATCCTAGAGAAGAAATTTAGAAGCAGATTATTTCCTCTGCCTAAGGGAACAAGCATGTCATGATGACAATGCAGGTTTTACAAGTTACATTCCTGTCGCCATTCATTATTTGGGGATTAATTGTAAATATTTTTTTGTTCTTATCCCAAAGAAAAAAATATTCAAAGTGGTAGTCATAAAGGGAATGCATTTCCATTTTTATCGTGCTGATACTGAGGTAAGGATGTCTGCTTATTTAGAATCTGTTGTGCGCTACACATGCTGGATGATAGAAATTTTAAAAAAAAGACACTGACTGCATGGGTGACAAAGTGGAACCGTGATGTGCTTGTTGGAAAGGTGATAACATGTAAAATTTATTTAGCAGTAAAGGATATGGAAAGTTATGGAGCTGATTACACAAAAAAGGAATATATGAAGCATATTCCCAAATGGGGCTGCAGGCTTTCTGAATCCTTTAAATTTCCCTCTCGGGATGGAGGAAGGGATAGATAAAGGTACTAAGGGTACCTTTCTACCAACTGCATATCTTTGGAAGAACCTCATTTTAGCTATTCCAAGTTTTTCTGTCTTTTAAAGTTTTCTTCTCCTCCCTCTGCCTCCCAACTTTTCTAGAGACTTTGGCTGTGGATATGTCCCTTTACTAGGTTTAAGAACCCTAGTAAAAACAACCCCAAAACATTTACAAATATTTAATGTGAGGCTGGGTGAATGGCAAGTTATTTTTGGGTGTATGTGTTTAACATCCTCATTTTTTCCTCTCCAGTTTTTGCCTTTACTGATTTACAATCCAAAGTAGGTAGCTGGGTATAAAATAATCATTCACGCTTAACGCCACTGCTCTTGGCAATCTGGCTTCTAGGAACTTCACCACTTCATCACTGATTTCACTAATGACCACTAGTTGCCAAACGAAAGGATGTTTTTCCGATATTTCTCTCCCTACACCTCCAGGTAACTTTTAAAAACCTTTTATTTTTACATAATTGAATACCTGTTATCAGTGTAACAGAATAGATGACTCAGAAATAGACACACACAGCTATAAACAGTTGTTTCTGACAGAAGTGCAAAAAATCAGTTCAATGGAAAAAGGATAATCTTTTCAACAAATGGAGTGGAGCAATTGGACACTCATTAAAAAAAACAATAAGAGAAATAAACAACAAAAACCTTCAAACCTCAGCCTAAACTTTGCACTTTGAACAAAAATTAACTAAAAATTGATCATAGGTTTAAATGTAAAACAAAACTATTAAGAAAACTTTTAGAAGAATATCTAGGAGTAGGCAAAGAATTCTTTCCAAAGAAGACATACAGATGGCCAATAGGCACATGAAAACATGCTCAACATTTGTTCATCATTCACTCATCAGAGAAATATAAATGAAAACCACAATGAGATATCACGTCATAGCTGTCAGAATGGCTGTCATTAAAAAGACCACAACCAACCAATGTTGGTGAGGATGTAGAGAAAAGGGAACATTTGTACACTGCTGGTGGGAACATAAATTGGTGTGGCCACTATGGGAAACTGTGACGGTTCTTCAAAAAACTAAAAATAGAACTACCATATGACCCAGCAATTCCATTTCTGAGTATATAGCTAGAGAAAAGAAAAACACTAAGTCAAAAAGATAAATGCACTCTAATGTTCACAATAGTATTATTTGTGATAGCCATGTAAAAGAATGAAAAATTTCCTTTTACAACACCAAGTGAAATAAGTCAAGCAGAGAAAGATAAATATTGTATGTTTTCACTTACATGTACAATCTAAAAAAATAAAACAAATGAAGGAACATAACAAAGCAGAAACAGACTCACAGATACAGAGAACACACTAGTGGTTGCCAGTGGGGAAAGGAAAGGGAGGAGGAGCAAGATAGGGGTAGATAAGAGGGATAGATAAGATAAGAGGTACAAAGTACTGTGTATAAAAAAGCTATAAGGATACATTGTACAGCACAGGGAATATTGCTAATATTTTATTAAAAACTTTAAATGGAGTGTAATCTATAAAAATTTTAATCAGTATGTTGTACATCTAAAATTAATATTGTAAATCAACTATACCTCAATTTTAAATAGCACAATCCATGGAAAAACCACTAAATTATATGTCATCATGGAGAAGAAAATGGCAACTCACTCCAGTGTTCTTGCCTGGAGAATTCCATGGACAGAGGAACCTGGCGGGCTACAGTCCATGGGGTTGCAGTGCTGAACACGACTTAGTGACGAAAACAACATCAACATCTGTCATCAAAATTAAAAACTGTTCTACGTGAAAGACTCTGTTAAGAAGATGAAAAAACATGCTACATACTGCAATAACTTTTTGACAAATCACATATCGAACAAAGGATTTGAATTTAAAATATTTAAGAACTCTCAAAACTCAACAGAATAAAAATAATTCAATTAGAAAATGAGTAAAAGACATGGATAGACATTTTACGAAAGAGGATATATGGATGGCAAATAAGCACACCAAATGCTCAATATCATTAACTATTAGGGAAATGTAAATTAAAATTATGACAAGTTAATCACTACATACCCATTAGAATGGCTAAAAAAGAAATAGTGACAATTCTAGCTGACTTTGACACTGCTCAATATTCGTTTATTTTAAATGCCCTTATACTTATTTTTCTGGTTCTCTAAATATTGTTTCTCTGTCATCTTCATGGGTTTCTCTTCCTTGTCTGACTGTGGCTTGCTATTCTTTCCTTAAATCTTCCTGGATGATTCTCTTCTTTTCTGATTTCAAGTACCTTTCATATTTTGATGACTCCCATAGACTTTGATGCACAAATACCTCAAATTCAACATGTCATAAAAAATGAACTTATCAGTTTCTTCCGTAAGAAGAAACTGATTCCTCTTTATTCTTTATTCTAATTATCACTATTTATCCAGTCACTCATGCTTGAAGCATAAGTATCTTAACTTCTTTTTCCCCCTTTCCCACTGCCCACCTGACATATAGTTAGTCTCTGAATGCTATGAATATTTTTCCAATTAGTCCTCTTCTTGCCCTCGCCTTAGATTGGGCCTTCATCTTTTGCCTTGACTATAGCAGCCATCAGCGGCTTCCCGCAACGTATAGAATTAAATCTTAATTTGCATGCAAACCTTTCTGTAATGTGACTCCTACCTATTCTCTTGTCTCTCCTCTTACCACTCTCTCTATCATATCCTATGCTTCACCAACACGGACTGGCTTATTCATCCTTGGGGAAATATATCATTTCTCACCACACTGCTTTTGCCTGGCACATCCTCTCACCATCCATGCTTCCTTTTACTTGGCTGTCTCTACTTCAGCTCAGTTATCATCCCCAGGAAGTCTACCCTATTCCAATGGGTTTGGATAGATGACTTCTTATTTGCTCCTATTATGTTAATACACTGCTTATTTTTATTATTTTATTTAGCACATTGTTTTAGATATTTCCTTGATCCTTTTATGCATTACAGTGCTCTATTTTCTAGTTTTGAGGCTAGGAATTGCTTCTGTTTGAACATCTTTGTGTCTTTAACAACTGTGTTATTGAGTACCAATAGTGGATACTCAATAAATGCTTGTTGAATTAAAAAATATAAATAATTATATTCAGTTAAATACAACAAGTATTGTGACAGAAGTATGAAGAGACTATAGTGGGGACCTAAAGTAGGAAGTTTTCAAAAGACGCTTTGAAGCACATAGTTTCACTTAGAAAAATAAGTATGTCTTTGCTGAAGGAAGAATGTATATTCCAGTTGTAAGTATCAAATATATGTGTGTGTGTGTGTGTGTGTGTGTGTATATATATATATATATATGGTAATTGGTGCTGTTTATTGAGATGGCTGAGACTCAGATCAGAAAACTGAGTTTCTGATCTATTTTCTAATCTGATTAGAAACTAGGAGATCAAGGGATGTCTTTTGATTATGCTGAATATTTCAGAAAGAACTGAGTTCTAGAGAGAAAGATTTAGAACACATCAACATATATAGCTTATATTTATGGTCATGAGACTAGGTGAAATCACCTAGGGAGAGAGGAAAGAGAAAGAGTGAGGAGAAGATCAGGTTCATAACGAGACAGAGTCAGTCTGTTAAGAGATTGGGGGCCACCACAAGACCTTTAAGATCAAGCAGTGTATTAGTGGAATAGACATAGAAAATAATCCTCTAGAAAAATTTTTGAGCAAGCAACTAATTGAAAAATACTTTGTCAATTAGATGAAAAAATGTCCAACCAGGCCATTCCTTAAAAACTTTTTGTTTTTAAATAATTTCAGACTTATAAAAAATTGTACAACGAGTACAAAGTATTCTCCTGTATATTCACTTGTTCTCATAATAGTAATATTCTTGCCTGCAGCAATGATTACTATGGCGGTTGCCAGATAATAATTTTCTCACCATTCTTTGTATATTTTTTAGTTGGAATTTTGTATTAAGGAAGAACTTGGTCTTTTTTCTTTCTTCACTCATTCATTTATATAGCAGTATATGGGCTATGGGTTTCCCAGGTGGCGCTAATGGTAAAGAACCTGCCTGCCAATGCAGGGGATGTAAGAGACGTGGATTCAATACCTGGGTTGGGAAGATCTCCTGGAGAAGGCAATGACTACCCACTCCAGTATTCTTGCCTGGAGAATTCCATGGATAGAGGAGCCTTGTGGCTACAGTCCAAAGGGTTGAAAAGAGTTGGACACAACTGAAGCAACTTAGCATGCCTGGACTATGGAGTCTTATTTTAGCTGTTGAATTTAATGTGTTGTTATTGTGGTCTGTTTTGATGTTCAGCTGCCCCAGGTTTGGCCACTGGGAGGACATCAAGTTGCCTGTTATGTTCTTTTTAGCTTATCCCATCAACACAATAAGATGTTCCAGCCTTATACGGTACTTTTCCTGTTTTAATCCTGAAATCGTCATTTCTCCAAGGATTCTTGGATCTTTTTTAGTAGAGAATGGCATTTAGAAATTGGGGCATAAGTGTAAACTATGTAACTGAGATGTAGTTGCTTCTTGGTTCCTTCAGCAGAAAGAGCCAGGGAATTATTTATCTACATATCTACCCATCCATCCTTCCCTCTGTCATTTGTCTATCTTGAAAGCCTTGAGTTTATGCTGATACCTCCTATTCCAATTAAAAATCACAGAGTTTTAGCCGTCCCTCTTTGCAGGGAAAGTTCTAGCCTTTCCCTCTTTGTTACTCCCTTCTCTTACATTCAGAAACATGAATTTTATGAACCATAATATGTTTACTTATTTTACTAAATTCTATAATACATGTAAACAGTCTTTAAATTGCCAACTATGTGAGAAATCTACTCACTGTAGTTCAATATTTGTCTATAGTTTTATGTACTTAGCTTGAAGGCATATATCAAAATACTGTGTTCAAAAATTAGTTTGGTTAGTTCTACAGTCCTTTCAATGTGACTGTGTTTTTAATTTGAAATCCACTTAGGTTCATTTGTTTCTTTCTTTTTCATTTTGGCTTTTTACTCTCATCCTTACTGATTTTCTTTATTCGTGTTTTTGAGCATGTGAAACACTAGCATATTTTAAAGTCAGAACTGCATCTAAATCTGTACTCGGAGACGCATCCTTCCTCCCTTCTACCCTGTTCCTCCACCCAGTGCTTTCTCTCTGTTAATACCCACTCCCTCTTAAATAACTGATGACATTGATTTCTGGTTTATCCTTTCTGCATTTAATATTTCATGAAGAAGTAGATAAATGTTCTTATTTTCCTTTTTATCTTACACAAAATGCATCATACTATATTCTTTTGCTTTTTAACTTCACAGTACACCCCCAGAATCACCCCACGTACATTTATAGAGATCTACATTTTCTCCCAGCTTCATTGAGATGTAATCACACATAACATTGTGTAAGTTTAAGGCTTGAGATGTGCTCACTTGATTTCCTTATTCTTCCTTATTTCTGCACAGAATACACCAGTGTGTTGTTTATTCAGCCGCTCTCAAATATTTCTAGCATTCGGTTGCAATGAATAACCTTGTGTAAGTGTGTTTTCATATTGTTGGAGGTATATTTTCCATTTCTATAAGTGGGACTTCTGGATCAATATGTAGTGTAGTTAGAAACGGCAAAGTTTCACTTGCAACTTGTGAGAGTGCTTGATTCACCATGGTCTTACCACAGAATATAGAGGTCATATTTTTTATTTTTTGTCAGTCTGAAAGGTGACAAATGGTATCTCAATGTAGTTTAAATTTGCTTTTTCTAATTATGAAGATCAAACACCTTTTCACATGGTTAAGAGCCATTTTTGTTAATATTTTTATTGTGAAATTGTGGTTCATTTCTCCTGTTCATTTTTCTATTTATTTCACCCTTTTATTTAAAACTTAAAAAAAATTGTAATAAAATACACATAGCATAAAACTTACCATCTTAACTATTTTAAAGTATACTGTTCAGCAGTATTAAGTATTTTCACGTGGTTGTGCAACCAATCTCCAGAATATTTTCATCTTGCAAAACTGATACTCTACACTCATTAAACATTCCCCATTTCCTTCTCCCCCTAGTCCCTGCCAAGTACCATTCTATTTTTCGTTTTATGTACTTAACTACTCTAAATACCTCATGTAAGTAAAATCGTAAGGTATATTTTGTCATTGGCTTATTTCATTTAGCATAATGTCCTCAAGTTTTACTCATCTTCTAAATTTTTAAGCATTCTTTCCATTTTATTTGAGATACATGTTGCAAATATTTTCTCCCAGATTGTCAGCTATCTTTTGACCTCTTTTATTATGATGGGTTTTTGCCATGCAAGCATTTTAATTTTATGCAGTCAGAATTTGTTAATTATTTTTTTCTTTTCTACACCTGGAGTTTGAATCATAGTTATGAAGTTTTCCCCTACACTCAAACGTAGAAAAATATTATCAATTTTTTCTAAGCCTTGTATAGTTTTATTGTTTCAGTTAATTCCTAATCTATGTGGAATTTATTCTTCTGTATGTTGGAAGATATCTGTTAAATTAATCTTTTTCCAAATGGCTGACCGGTTGTCCAAGAAATATTTATTAAAATCTTCATCTTTGCTTCAGTGATTGGGATGCTACATTTATTATATGCTACATTTTCCTATGTGCTGTATCTATTTCTGGACTTTCTTTTTTTCATTTTTTTCAAAGTGGTCTGTCTATTCATGTACCTACATCACACTATTCTCATTAGGGAGACTTTATAGTATGTTTTAATGTCTCCTAAGACAAGTTCTTCTTTGTAAATTTTCTTTCTCAGGGATTTCTTGGCTATTCTCACATGTTTAGTTTTCCACTTGAACTTTAGACTCAACTTGTCCAGTTCCTTAAAAATATGTGTACTTTTATTGGTATTGCATTAAATTGATTGGGGGACAAATTAAAATTTTTGTGATGTTAAAAGATCTTTACGAAGCTCAGGTACTATCTTTCCATTTGTTTATGTCTATTTTTGTCAGACTACTCTTTGTTATAGGAGAATTTATGAAATTATATTATGATGCTATTGTACAAGAATATTATCTCCAAGAGATTTGGGCTTTGTTTACTACTAAATCCTGAGCATTGGAACAATACTTTTATATTTGTTGAATTAATGAGTATTTGTTAAATGAAGGAATAGTAAGTTAGACAAAGGATCTTTGTTTTGCCTTGAGAAAGTGAAGAGTATACTAAAAACATTAGTTTGGAGAGAACTCATCATAAATAAATATATAAAATAGTTTCTTTGTAGGTCATACTTTGGGGTAAAATATTTTTATTCTAAAGGCATGTTATTTTTTATAATATTTTTATTCCGAAGTGCTACATTTGCACATATATCATTGAAAGGCTACACTATTTAGAATATTTATTTTTTTCTTATTATATTCTCAGTTCAACTATATTTATTTGAAGCAATGTGTAGAGAGTAGTCCGATAGTACCTATTCAGCAGGAATGGCTGGATCACATGTTAATGCTGGTACCTGAGTCTTTGAAGGAAGGAAAAGAACAGGAAGAACTTGTGCAAAGTCTCATAAACGAGGTGTCAAGTGATTTTGAAAAAAGCATGAAGAGATATTTGGGTAAGCTGCATTTAACACACACCAAGCTTGCTTGTTCCCCTGCCTATCCCAATCAAAAGCAGAAATATAAATAATAAACATTATATGTTTAGCTGCATGTATTTTTAGAGTTTTTATTTTGAGCCTATAATCTAATCAAATCTTTGTAATTCATGGGCACCATTTCTTTTTTTTTTTTATGGGCACCGTTTTTAAGGGCACTTTTTGTGATTTTTAATGTGCTTATTAACTAATACTTTAAACTTTTAACTTTGTCTTTATGGTTGTAGTTATGCTATTTATAGGATGTAAGAAAATATTAGTGGAGAGATTTTATATTGGGGGGATTTATTAGAGAAATAACCTTTGAAATTTTTAATTGGATTAATTTTTTAAGTTATTTTGCCAGTGACCTTGGTATACATAAGATGAAAATAGTTGAGGACTTATTAAAGCTTTACTGTATTTAAATTCACTTTCAAAGTAGGGCCAAAATAGTACCAAAAGCTTAATTTTCTTTCAAACAAGGGACTTTTTTCTTATACTCATTTTGATGTATATTAAGCTATACTACTCATTATCAAAAGTTGAAACTTTGATTTCAGTTAGTTCTTGCAAAGATTTTCAAGAAGTATTTATCTATCTATAAGATACTGTCTTTCTTTTTTTTTTCAGTGAGGAGTGTTCTCGTGAAACCTGATATTAATTGGCTTGAAGATGAAGGTGGCCCTTTACCTGAATCCCCTGTGTGAGTAAATCTTTTAAAAAGCAGTACTGCATCTAGTTTTTGATAATAGACTGAAAATAAACTGATCGATCTTACAGTCAAGGCTAAAATTATGAAGCTCAAGGTGTTTTGAAAACATGTAAAATAATTGTAATACTGTTTTTTTCCTCCCCTAAATGTATCCTCTACATTGGACTTACCTAGTTGTTGATTATACACTTATGAGAAACTTTATGGATGTATAACTCAACTTGGTTTTTTATAAGTAGGCTTTGGAGTATGCCAGACAGATTTTTCCATCTCTTCTTCCCAGTCTTACAGACCAAGTTTGTTTATATAGGGTAACTGAGCCAGAGCACAGCGGAAGTTAAGGAACTCATGCATGGCCTGTCGGCCTTCCTTATGCACCAATGATCTCTTTATTCTCTCTGAAGATAATGAACTCTCAAGATCTTGATGTATTTTTGTTACATGCTTATCTACTAAGTTTCCTATTGCTGACCACATTTCTCTCTTCTCAATCTCCAGTCTTCTCACTTTTATACTAATTCTATGCCATAAATATTACTTACTAAAATTTAGAATATGTCATTTGAATCCTGTTTTGATGCAGTGTTTTGCTTTTCCAGAGGCCTGGATTATTCTAAGCCTTGGCATTCTAACTATCTGCAGACAAGAAACCAAATATTAGCTAATTTGCACATTGTTCATCCAACCATGAAAATGTTACTGGACCTTGGTTATACAACATTTGCCAATACAGTTTTGCTAGACTTAACTGGAATTAGGTAAAATCCCATATTTATTAATTAACATTTAAAATTTGAATGTCTTCTGCTTGAGTCTTTATATTTTTGACTACATAATTTTTATAACTGATAAATATTTAGGAGTTTTTACATTAAAAAAAATTTTAGCTTATCTTACTTGCTTCACTCATTTTGTATCATGACCAATTTGTTTGCTTTAAATCATTCTTTTTCTCATAAATAGAGGTAAAGGCCCAATTGATTGTGAATCACTAAGAAATGATTTATCAATACAAGCTAGAAAGGCAGAAGAGAAGATAATGAACACTTGGTACCCAAAGGTTATAAATCTCTTCACCAAGAAGGAGGCACTAGAAGGCATTAAACCCGAGAAACTCGATGCATTTTATAACTGCGTTTCCACACTTATGTCAAATCAGGTAAACAGATTTTGTATATTTTAAATGATAATGTTATTAAAGTTAATTTAACATTTTATTAGATATAGTGCTATGTAATTATTTTGAAATAAAATAAGAGAGACTTTTACTAGTTTAGCTGAAAAATACTTCATTTCTGGAAGCAGTATAAAATGAGAGGTAACTCTAGAAGTATGTGTCAATATTATGAGTGATTACTGAACTCATGCTTAAGGGCTATAAGCTAATTATAGCTTTATTAAAGTAAATTAATAAAAGGACTATTCTAGAGAATGTATTTTTGAACTTATGAAATTCCAAGTTAATTGATTATCATTTTGTTCTTAGTAAAATCTTGATTTGAAAATGTTATTGATCATTTTTAAGTGACAGAGGATATGAATTTTATACAATTATTTTATTGGCTCCTTGAATTTTTACTATTGGAAAAATATAACCCTAGAAAAATAATTTGAATAAAAAGTTTTCCTTTTTGTAAAGATCTCCAAAGATTCCATAAAGTTTGCCTTTTTAAAGGTAATATATATGTGTATACATACTTATATAAATCTGATATGTAACACTGTAATAAATACACATGATTTCCTTTTTGCCTTTATCCTCTTAAGAGGACTATGATTATATGATAAGTTAAGAGATGAAAAATGTTGTGAAGTTTATTTAAATCTATGTTTGTCTACTTTGTTTACATTTCTAATAATTGGTTATATATAAGAAAGTATTATTCATCCTTTGGTAATTTACAGTGTGCATTTCTAAGTTCCAGTGGCTTCACTCTTAAGTAATGATATGCTGGAAATTTGATGCTCCAGGAGAAAAAAATCCTGATTTGTAGTGTTTGCCAATTTCCATGGTATAAATATTCCTACCATGGTGATTTTCAGGCATCCAAGAGTTTAGTATCTGGCTTACAGAATTCTTGAATGTTTAACAATTAGCTCTTGTAATTGTAGGAGCTAGCTTTAGTACATCACTCTCACTTGCCCCAAAACATATCTCCTCTTGAAAGTAAAAGTGAAAAGTGAAGCTTGCTCAGTCCTCTCTGACTCTTAGTGACCCCATGGACTGTATAGTCCATGGAATTCTCCAGGCCAGAATACTGGAGTGGGTAGCTTTTCCCTTCTGCAGGGGATCTTCCCAACCTGGAGATCGAACCCAGGTCTCCTGCATTGCAGACGGATTCTCTACTAGCTGAGCCACAAGGGATGCCCATCACCTCACGACACCCCCCAAACTGGGTTTCAGGCCTCTCCACCCCTCAGTCTTTACCATGCTGTTGGGTCTTCTGGAACTTTTTCTGTACCAGGGACAAAATTACTAAAGAATGTGGAAGATTCTAAGTTGACATTTTAAGACTGTTAATATTCTATAGAAAAATTAAAGTTTGCATGTATTGTTCTATTTTAAACTGTATTAAGAACATATGAATGAAGATAATTTTCAGGACTAAATGGATTGGTAAAATGAATTAATTATAAGCATTAGCTCACTGATCTAAACTTTTAGTTAAAGCTTTGTACTTTCTAAAGTAGTAATAACTTATGGTATCATGCAGCTAAAAGATCTCTTAAAGAGAACTGTAGAAGGATTTGTAAAACTCTTTGACTCAGAAGATCAACGAGGGCTGCCCATATTTAAGATGGAATTGACCTTTGATGATGATAAAATGGAATTTTATCCTACTTTTCAAGATTTGGAAGATGTTGTCTTTGGTTTGGTTGAGCGAATAGCTGAAGCTCTGCAGGTAAGTCTTTATCCTTATTCATTGGGTTTCTTTTTAAAAAATTTTTTTATTGGAGTATATTTGATTTACAATGTTGTTAGTTTCAAATGTACAGCAAAATGAATCAGTTATACATATACGTATATCCACTTGTTTTTTTTCTTTAAGATTCTTTCTCCATGTGTATCATTACAGAGCACTGATAGAGTTCCCTGTGCTATACAGAGGTCCTCATTAGTTATCTATTATATATATATGCATATACATACATATATGTATTAGTGTTTATATGTCAATCCCAACCTCTCAATTTATCTCTCCACCCCCTTACCCTCTAGTAGCCAAAAGGTTTTTTTCTACATCTGTGACTCTACTCATCAGATTTCTTTCAGTTCAGCTCAGTTGCTCTTTTGCGACCCTGTGGACTGCAGCACACCGCTTCCCTGTCCATCAACTCCCAGAGCTTGCTCAAACTCATGTCCATCGAGTTGGTGACGCCCTCCAACAATCTCATCCTTTATCATCCCCTTCTCCTCCTGCCTTCAATCTTCCCCAGCATCAGGGTCTTTTCCAATGAGTCAATTCTTTGCGTCAGGTGGCCAAAGTATTGGAACTTCAGCTTCAGCATCAGTGCTTCCAATGAATATTCAGGACTGATTTCCTTTGGAATTGACTGGTTGAATCTCCTTGCAGCCCAAGGGACTCTCAAGAGTCTTCTTCAACACTTCAGTTCAAAAGCATCAGTTCTTCAGCACTCAGCTTTCTTTATAGTCTAACTCTTACATCCACACATGACTACTGGAAAAACCATAGCTTTGACTAGACAGACCTCTGTTGGCAAACTATTGTCTCTTCTTTTAAATATGCTGTCTAGGTTGGTCATAGCTTTTCTTCCAAGGAGCAAATGTCTTTTAATTTCATGGCTGCAGTCACCATCTGCAGTGATTTTGGAGCCCAAAACAGTAAAGTCTGTCACTGTTTCCATTGTTTCCCCCATCTATTTGCCATGAAGTGATGGGACCAGATGCCATGATCTTAGTTTTTTGAATATTGAGTTTTAAGCCAGCTTTTTCACTCTCCTCTTTCACTTTCATCAAGAGGCTCTTTAGTTCTTTGCTTTCTGTCATAAAGGTGATGTCATATGGCTCTTTTAAAAATTTTTAGTTGAATATAAGCTCTATAAAATGTATATGTACTTGTTTTCTTTTCATCCTCCAAATTTTTGTAAGTTAAAAGTGCTTTCTCTTTGAGAAAGTTTCCTGGCTTGAGATGACATTTTTCTTTTTAGAACTTTTATTGTAGTTATGAATTTATATATATGTATGTTAATTTTTATGATGTAGTTATGAATATATATATATTTACAAATTTATATTTTATGTGTTTCATGTTCCCTACTGAGTTGTGAACTTCTTAAAGGCAAGATCCAAGTGATGTGTATTCTTTTTAGAGCTTTCTGATATAACCACTTCAACATTATAATTCCTTATAGATATTTGTTGAATGATAAAAAACTAAGCCAATTAAGGTTTTATATTTTAAATCATTATTTTGCATCAAGTTATCTTTTCCTGAACCATTGAAACCTGAAATGAATTTAAGTATAAGATCTACATATAGATCAACTGTACAGATATTTATTTCATGAATTGTCATTTTATATCTGTTAGAATGTCCAAACAGTACCCTCTTGGCTATCAGGAACTTCAACACCTGTGAATCTTGACACAGAACTTCCTGAACACGTGTTACAATGGGCTCTTGATACGCTGAAGGTGGCAGTACATCGTAACTTAGAAGGCGCAAGAAAACATTATGAGACATACGGTATATATGACGCAAATATATCTCTTTTTTTTGTGATAAAAGAATGCCATTTTATTTTTACTAGAATTTTGTCAGATATTTGGTTGTCCGGATCTGTTATGAAAGACCAGAGAGAGCAAGAAGTGAGCATAGGCATGGCTTCTGACAGAGTCATGAATCAAGCCCAAGAAACTTGCATTCTGTTATTCAGTCCAAAGGGTGAATATTAACTGGAGCAGGGCCATAAAATCAAAACATAGAGAGAAAGGATGTTTATATAAGCAGAAAGTTAAATCAAGGGCAAAAACAAGGTAATTTCTAACAATTTCAGCTTAATCATCTCTTGAAGTATGTTATGGGGTCAGGATAAATAGTTGTTATTTGACATTCTGTTGACCAAAACCTTTTATTAACTGGCTTATCTGTGAAAGTGTTAGTCGCTCAGTCATGTCCGACTCTTTGCGATCCTATGAACTGTAGCTCTCCAGGCTCCTCTGTCCATGGAATTCTCCAGGCAAGAATAAAGAAGTGGGTTCCCATTTTTAACTCCAGGGGGTCTTCCTGACCCAGGGATTGAACCCACATCTCCTGCATTGGCAGGCAGATTCTTAAGTACTGCACCATCTGGGAAGCTCTTAAAAACATTAGTTCAGAGTAGTGTTGAAAATGTTAGTCACTCAGCTGTGTGTGACTGTTTGTGACCCCATGGACTGTAGCCCAGCAGGCTCAGGCTTCTTTGTCCATGAAATTCTCCAGGCAAGAATACTGGAGTAGGTAGTCATTCCCTTCTCCAAGGGATCTTCCCAACCCAAGGATCTAACCCAGGTCTCCCACAATACAGGCAGATTCTTTATTGTCTGAGTCATCAAGGAAGCTTTATCTGTACCTCTAAGTTATTTTATATAAACTATTATTTTTATTTAAAAAGTTTACTTTTAATCTGGTTTGCTTGTTAGGTTTATTTTATGTTATTACATCTATTCCTGTTAATGTATGTTATTAGTTTATTAATGATATTTAATTAAATAGGCTGCTCTAGTCTATGACTATATAAAAAGCACTTTATCTTTTTAAAAGAGTGTTATTGAGATTTAAATTAGATTGTTAATTTTCAGTTGAAAAGTACAGTTGGCTCATTGATGGGACTGCTGTTAAGCTGATGGAGACTTTTCAGGCAGAGGATCATACTTTTGATGAATACACAGAGGTATGTGTTAATTCTGTTTTTTATTAATACTTTTTGAATTTATTTTTAAAATTAAGATTTTTTATTCTAAAAAATAAATGCGTCAGTCTAAGTTAATACAGTTTCTTATTCAGAACATCATTCTAGTAAACTCATATGTTCATCTAATAATTCCCTTATTCATCTAGCTCATTCATTGATTCAACAAAAATACTTTTCATCACATTCAGACACATAACAATATTTTGGTTATGCAAAAATAAATAATATATAAACATTATCCTCAAAAGCTTATGTTGGACATGGAAACCAGACATAGAAATAACAACTGTGAAAGTGAAACTTACTTAGTCGTGTCTGTCTCTTTGCCACCCCCTGGACTATAAAGTCCATGGAATTCTCCAATCCAGAATACCAGAGTGGGTAGCCTAGCCCTTCTGCAGGGGATTTTCCCAACCCAGAGATTGAACCCAGGTTTCCCTCATCGCAGGCGGATTCTTTACGAGGTGAGCCACAAGGGAAGCCCAAGAACGCTGGAGTGGCTAGCCTAGCCCTCCTCCAGGGGATTTTCCCAATCCAGTAATCGAGCTGGAGTCTCCTATACTGCTGGAGGATTTACTAACTGAGCTATCAGGGAAGCCCAACTGTAATATATTGAAATTAGTACTAGAATGGAGAAAGGACAAAGTGGTGTGGAACCTCAGAAGAAGGAATGGCTACTTTTGCATCAGTAAATTGATGAAGATTTCTAGAAAAAGTGAAAAGTGGGCTGGGCTTTGAAATAGATGTTTATAGGTGAAGAAGAGAGGAAATGTAACATAAGACAGGGCCAAAAGTATTTAGAGGTGTTCAGAGAACATTGAATAAACCCCATATGGCTGAAGAATGAGCAGAGGAGCCTGGTGGGGCTATATTTCATGGGTTGGGAAAGAGTTGGACACAACTGAGTGAGTGAGTACACATGTGCAGCTGAAGAATAGGTAGTTAGGAATACAATATCTAGGGTATTTTGTGTTTCTGTACAAATTTTAGAGTAATTGTGTTCTAGTTCTATGAATAATTCCATTAATACTTTAAAAAAATATTTATTTTTATTTATTTATTTGGCTGCTTTGGGCATTAACTGTGGCACGCGAGATCTTCATTGCTTCCTGTGGGAATCTTTCATGGCCTCTACATTGGAAACTCAGATTTTAACCACTGAAATGCTAGGGAAGTCCCTGACTGTGTTTTTTTTTTTTTTAAATTTTGTTTTGTTTTACCAATGAATGGGTCCTGCTTTCTTGTTTCTTTGTATGTCTCATAATTTTCTGTTGGAATCCAGACATTTTAGGTAATATACTGTAGCAACTCCACACATTGGTCTCCCTTTCAGTTTGCTATGTTTATTTGCTTGTTTATTTGTTTAGAGACTGGGCAGATTATTTTAGTGAAGTCTGTTTCGCTCCCCACACCCTCTGAAGTACCAAGTATTGCTCCTCACGGAGCCACAGCGTTGGGTATGCCAGAAGTCGTCCTGAAAAGGCCATGGTTTCAAATGTCTTTGTTCTCTCTTTCTCTGGCTATACATCGCTGTTAGTCTTCACTTACTGCTGGTTAATTGCTGTATTGTTTTCAACAGTTCCATAGAGGTATAAGTTGCTCTACTGTAATCAAATTCAGACTCCCTTGAAAAAGCAGTTTCTAGAGTCAGTGTTTGATAGTTATTCTCCCCCGGGAGGGATCCTACCAACTGTCTCCTTCCCTGGCTCTTTGTCCCAAACTAGCTGGTCTATGATTTAGCCTGAATCTTCACCAAATCACTGAATCTTCCTCACAGTTTCTCCCTACCACAACCTCCACTGTTTTTGAGGGCACAGTTAGGCTTGAATCTTTTCCATGTTCTATTGCAACTGAAGTCAATTCCTTTGGGAAAAGATTAGGAGGTATCTATTTTATGACATGCTTCTCTTTCACTTCCAGGCAAGATGTCTGAGCCAAGGCCTTGGAGCTGGGAATGGGGATAGTGATAGACTTCTCTCAGTGATAATCCCACTGAAGAAGTTGAGCACTCAATGGAATGCATGTGTTCTAATTCACTTCAGTCATGTCTGACTCTGTGACTGTATGGACTGTAGTCTGCCAGGCTCCTCTGTCCATGGGATTTTCCAGGCCAGAACACTGGAGTGGGTTGCCATGCCATTCTCCAGGGGATCTTCCCAACCCAGGGAATTGAACTCACATTTCCTGTGTCTCCTGTATTGGAGGCAGGTTCTTTACCACTAGTGCCACCTGGGAAGCCCAGACTCAGTGGAGTAGAGAGTACTAACCTGAGGTTAGCCTTGTCTCTTTTCTGCTATGGAGCTGCCACCTTCCCAGCGAGGGCAAGTGGGATTGTTGTCTCTGTATTCTCAGTGGTACCATGACCAAGATAGACCCTCCCTTCCATGAGTGGTATTTGTGTGGTACAAGGGAGTTCCCACCTTCCAATTACATTCACTAAGAACCTAGCTTTAACAAAACTAGTTAAGCCATCCAACTGAAACCTGGGTGGTGGGGGAGCCCTCTGTTCTTGACTGCACTTGTCTGGAGTGGAGTTTCCACATTCTGAGCTGGCAGCAGGGAGGGAGGGAGAAATCCAGGTTTAAATACCACAGAGTCTCACTTTTCTTTCTAAATTTTCATGAAGTTTCACCAATAGATGTTTCTTCATTTTCTGTATACTCTTATGACCGTTTTCAGTGGTTTTAAATTAAATCCTTGTTTTGTTTTTTTTTTGCCTTCATCTAGATTTATTTTATGTCTTTGGTTAAATATTGAAAACCAACTAATAGGCTATTCTTCTAACAGTGGCATTCTTTAAATTCCAGAAAAATATTTAATATCAATTGTTAATATTAGTTCTAGTCATTAACTGTATTAAGTTTGGTTGAAAATAAAATACAATCTTTACAGCACTAAACACAATGGTATTTTAGGTAACAAATGAAGCTACTATTTAAAGAGACTTTGCCCAGAAAACCTCCATTGCCCATTAGGTGAGACTTACTGATGGAGACTTCTGTCTCTCTGTCTCTCTCTCTTCATCATTTAAAAAAGCCAATTTAAAACACTTTCCAATTAAATCTTTGAAGTGTTGTCACTTTGATGGACACTTTTAGTTCCAAAAAACAAANTTGTACTCCTTCCTCTTGAGAAGATTGAGATTCTTAGTTCTGTATAGTTCTTATCAAACTTGGAAAATATTCACACATTATTGCTTCATTTAAAAAAATTTGTCTCCTTCCCTCATTTCTGGAATCCTAGTTTTATGTATTTTAGACTGTTTAATATTACTTCAAAGGTTCCTGAAGTCATTCAGACATTTGCATTGTTTCCAACGTGTCATATTTTCTTTGATCCAGACCTTTTATTTTCCATATCTGTTAATTACATCCCAGAAAAAATGGGTGATGGCCCTTGAGGATAAAAAAGCATCTGTTCTCCTTATTCTGATGCCATCAGTTCAACTGACTACTTGGTATAATTTTAACCAAGAACCAAGACTACTCTGTGTAGCCTTTGAACCAATTAATTAATATCTTCAGTTCCCTTAAACATTGAAATTTTTAAGCACAGTCAACTAAATACTGGAGACTAGAAAAATAAATTAGCTTTCAGAGAGAGGAAAATGAAGAAAAAGTCTCCTTAGGGAAGAGTAAAAGGAATATGAGGCATTTTGGTGGGGGGTGTAGGTGAGGTGAGGAGGAAAGTAAAGAGGCAACATTAAAGATGGATTGTGAAATTAAGTCAAAGTTGCCCAAAGTTGACAGGTATGTTTCACTTTCCATAAAGCTTGTCACAGTATAACTTGTCAGGTTTTCTTCCACATTACTTTGCTTAAATAAGAAAAATTATCCCAGTGTGTCTAGGTATTAAGAATTTGTATAAATTGCAATATCTTGGAACTTTGGTAACAGCAGGGCACAATGTTTCTCTCCTGGATTATTTTGACCAACACCAAAAAGTTTCTTATATTTATTTTCCTGAAGATTGAACTAGAATTTTCAGTGAGGCATTAGTAACGGCCCAAGCAAGTATTAGTGAGCTACACAAATTGTCACATGACACAGATTTGCTTTTAAACTGAGAGATAGGTGGCTTTGATCATATTCTTTTTAATAGTTACTGAGGGGAATTTCACCTTGTGACATGTCCAGATATTTTTGATGCTATAAATGGTATTGTATTGGATATTTACTGTTAAATTGGTAAATTCCTTAATGAAAGGACGGGGGGGAGAAGTTGGCGCAACAATGGAAAGAAATTTAATCCCTTAGCAAAAAGAAATGAATTTATACTTATAGCATATAATTAAGAATTTCACCATAATACTGTACTGTCAAATCACAGATGAATTTGAAAATTCTAATCATTTTTGTTTTAAATCCTTTTTTAAAGCTTATAGGAAAAATTTTCAATTTTGCTTCAGAAATAATGCTTTTGCCTCAGTGGGTTCATTTCCCTATGGTGCGTTTGGATTGTGAGGATTTGAAGACAGGCCTAACAAACAAAGCAAGAGCCTTTGCAAACATTTTGCTAAATGATATAGCTTCAAAACATAGGAAAGAAAATGAAAGGTAAGTAGAATCACTTGTCAAACTCAGAATTTTAGGGTAAAAGAGATATTGGGTTGTCCAAAAAAAAAAAAAAAATTCCACTGGCCTTCTTACAGGAAAACCCAAATGAATTTTTCGCCAACCAAATAGTTTGCTCATAGCAATTCTTGTTTAAAAATATAAGATTAAAATATAAGTGCTTACAATGTTTTTTCTCCAACTTCAATAAGGATTAAAACTAATATTTATATAAAGCACTTAGCACAGTGCCTAGAACATGGTACTCAAGAAATGTTAGCTGTTTATTTTCCCAGAAGCAATGTGAGAAAATTATATGCTTTGAAATCAGAGACCTGGATTTGAATCCTGGCTCTACCATGAAATAGTTCTATGACTCTAGGCAAGTTACTTAATTTCCCTGAGCCTCAATTTCCCGCTGTGCCGGTTATGAAAAATAATACCTTGCCTTGCAGAACTGATGTTAGGATCACAGATAACATTTGTAAAGGATTTAGCACCATGCTTGGCAGAGAACAGGTACCCAAGAAAGGGAGCTTTCACATCAATAAATATTTTCAAGTCAATAAAAAAATATGACTGTCAAAAAGTTAAGTATTGGTTAGCCATATTTTGTATAAAATTTTATTATACAATGATGTTGAAGATGGGAAAGTATTAGATGCTTCCTTTCTAATAATCCTGTTGAGTTACAATACCATAGTCAATTTTAAAAATGATTTATGTTTGACTCGACTTTTTGGTGTTTATTTTTGTAATATTGGTCACTTTCCTGGAAAATTCTATTACTTTCAATAAGTAACTGTCTTATTATAAACTCATGGCAGAAGAACAGTTGAAAAGTTTTCCATTTTCCTCTGCCTCGTTCATGCTTTGGTTTCTTCCTAAGTTCCATATATGAATTAGATAACATCAAAAGAAGGAAATGGGAACTTCCCTGGTGGGCCAGTTGCTAAGACTCTCTGTTCCCAACGCACGGGGCCCAGGTTTGATCCCTGGTCAGGGTACTAGATCCCACATGCCACAAATGAAAGATCCCGCATACCACGACTAAGACCTGGTGTGGCCAAATAAATAAATAGTTTTCTTTAAAAGGAGGAAATGTGTATATCAGAGACCTGGATTTGAATCCTGGCTCTACCATGAAATAGTTCTATGACTCTAGGCAAGTTACTTAATTTCCCTGAGCCTCAATTTCCTGCTGTGCCGGTTATGAAAAATAATACCTTGCCTTGCAGAACTGATGTTAGGATCACAGATAACATTTGTGAAGGATTTAGCACCATACTTGGCAGAGAACAGGTACCCAAGAAAGGGAGCTTTCACATCAATAAATATTTTCAAGTCAATAAAAAAATATGATTGTCAAAAAGTTAAGTATTGGTTAGCCATATTTTGTATAAAATTTTATTACACAATGACGTTGAAGATGGGAAAGTATTAGATGCTTCCTTTCTAATAATCCTGTTGAGTTACAATACCATAGTTAATTTTAAAAATGATTTATGTTTGACATGACTTTTTGGTGTTTATTTTTGTAATATTGGTCACTTTTCTGGAAAATTCTATTACTTTCAATAAGTAACTGTCTTATTATAAACTCATGGCAGAAGAGCAGTTGAAAAGTTTTCCATTTTCTTCTGCCTTGTTCATGCTTTGGTTTCTTCCTAAGTTCCATATGTGAGTTAGATAACATCAAAAGAAGGAAATGGGAACTTCCCTGGTGGGCCAGTTGTGAGACTCTCTGTTCCCAATGCAGGGGGCCCAGGTTTGATCCCTGGTCAGGGTACTAGATCCCACATGCCACAAATGAAAGATCCCGCATACCACGACTAAGACCTGGTGTGGCCAAATAAGTAAATAGTTTTCTTTAAAAGGAGGAAATGTGTACCACTATGTTAAGCATAATTTATTAAATAAATTAATAATTATTAAAGAGAAATTTTCTTATTTCACAGTTTGGTTTAGTATCTGCTTGGGCAAACTTGCTCTCACTAATCTTGTTTGCCTTCTTTCCTTTTCTGTTTTGCTTCTGGCCGTGCCACAGAGCATGGGGGATCCTAGTTCCCTGACCAGGGATCGAGCCTGTGCCTCCTGCAGTGGAAGCACGCAGTCCTAGCCATTGGACTACCATGGAACTTCCACCTCCTTTTCTTTTAATTGTATTGTTGCTCCAAAGGGACTCAGATTCTGCTCTAGTAAGAAGAAAGCAACCACAGTAGAATCATCTGTACATTTTTTGCATTATCAACATTAATCAGTTCAGTTCAGTTCAGTCGCTCAGTTGTGTCCGACTCTTTGTGACCCCATGAATCGCAGCACACCAGGCCTCCCTGTCCATTAATTGTATTGTTGCTCCAAAGGGACTCAGATTCTGCTCTAGTAAGAAGAAAACAACCACAGTAGAATTATCTGTACATTTTTTGCATTATCAACATTAATCAGTTCAGTTCAGTTCAGTCGCTCAGTCGTGTCCGACTCTTTGTGACCCCATGAATCGCAGCACACCAGGCCTCCCTGTCCATCACCNGATGTACTCTGCATATAAGTTAAATAAGCAGGGTGACAATATACAGCCTTGACGTACTCCTTTTCCTGTTTGTAACCAGTCTGTTGTTCCATGTCCAGTTCTAACTGTTGCTCACAACATTAATACATCCTTCTAAAAAACTATTTTTCTAAATAATTTTAAGGATTTATTAATATTCTTTTTTGGGCTGTGCTGACTCTTTGTTGCTGTGCGCAGGCTTTCTAAATTGCAGCAAGAGCATACTACTCCTCTTTGCAGTGAGCGGGCTTCTTACTGTGGTAGCTTCTCTTGTTGCAGAGCACAGGCTCTAAAGCTCAGGCTCAGTAGTTGTGGCACATTGGCTTGATTGCCACCTGGCATGTGGGATCTTCCTGGACCAGGGGTCGAACTCATGTCTTCTGCATTGGCAGGTGGACTCCCAGCAGAAGCCACTCCTAAAATATTGATAATCAAAAATTAACTGTCGGACTTCCTTGGTGATCCAATGGTTAAGAATTTGTCTTCCCATGCAGGGGGTGTGGGTTGGATTCTTGGTGAGGGAACTAAGATCCTACATGCCTCATGGCCAAAAAACCAAAAGGTAAAGCAGAAGTAATATTGTAACAAATTCAATAAAGACTTTAAAAATGATTCACAAAAAAAAGCTTTAAAAAAATGCTTTCAAGCCCTATGTGATCTGATTTCTGTTCATCTCTACAACTTCATGTTCTATCCTTTTTTTTTGTATTCACACTGCTCTGCTTGCCATTCCTAAACTATTCAAAGGTTTTTGCTACCTCAGGCTTTTATCTTTGTTATTTTTCTTCCTTTAAAGCTTTTCCCCTGATATTTGTATGACTCTTTTTTTTCTTTCTCTCATTTTGAATTATCACCTCTCTAGAGAGATCATTCCTGGTCACTTTATATAAAATATTGGTTCCGTCTCTATACTCCATCATTCTTTATAACCCTTTACTTTTTTTTTCTTCATAGAACTTTTTACTACTTAACACTGTGTTATGTATTTATGTATTTTTTGTCTCTCTCATCAACTTGAATGTAACCTTTATGATGGTAGGGACTTGATCTATTTGGTGTTATATCTCCAATGCTTAGAACTTTGCTTAGCATACTGTAGGTATTCAATTATTTATTAAATGACTGAATAAGTATAATTACATAATATAAATGAAATACCTGCATGAACTAAAATTTATTTTTAAAATCACTTACCTCTTTTGTACTTTGTTTTTGCAAGGAGTTTTTCTGATATTTCTAGCAATGGCATGACAATACTGATACTGCAAAGCATAGGGGAAAATTCTATGAAATATATCTTAGTTAAATAATGGGTATAGGTATGGGGTATCTATTAATAGATTCATACAAACATAGACTTTCTGAAAGAATCATGGATTTTAAAAATGTATGCAGGGATTTGATCTTTTCAGTTGCTATATTTCACAAGGGACATTACTACTACTAGTAACAATGAAGCTGATGATTATACTAACATTATAGTTACCAGTAACTGAGAGTGTACTATGTGCTGGGCTCTTTTGCATTCATTATTCATTATTGTATCACAACAATCCCACAAGATGAATTTAATAACTTAATTTTACAAATATGGAAATTAAGCCTATGAAATTCACATAATTACTCAAAGCTAGTAGCAGCTGAGGCAGGTTTTAGAGCTGCCTGATCGATCCAAAGCATACTCTATTTCACATTGAAAATGTTGTCTTAATTTTATGGATTTTATAAATCTATGGTGTATCCTGAGTTGAGTCAGTTAAGTTATACTTAAATATTTTAAGATACCTAACCGATTGTTTTTTGGGTCACAGTTCCTATTTTATAGTAATCATAATTGAGTGTAATATAGCATTAATTACTGTACCTATAATAAAGCAAGGTATTATGTCAGTATTTGCAGTGAATTTGAAGCAGTTAAAGAGCATGCATTAAAAGTTCCTGAGACAACAGAGGAAATGATGGAGCTTATATCTTATGTAGAAAAAGCCCGAACTGTAGGAATTCAGGAGTTGGTTTCACGGATCAAGGTAGGAATTTTTTAATTTACATATTAAAAATTTTTTTCATTGTGAAATATGGTATACATATTGAAAATGAATAAAACATATGGTTAAACAAAGTTATAAAGTGAACACCTATGTTGCCACCACCCAGGTGAAGAAATAGGATATTGCCAGCACCCTAGAAATCCTTTGCATATGACTTTCTGACCATAATTACTTCCTTTTCTCCACCTCCTAGAGGTGTCAACCAGGTTTCTACAGTAATCATTTTTTTCCTTTAGTTCCTCCATGTGTGCATCCTTAACAAAGGTTTAAAAAATATTTTCTTTTATAGTTTCTACATTTAGTAGTACATATGCTCATGCCTTCCCCAACACAATGTTATATACCTATTCACCTATATTATACTCTAATTTTTGTTTAAAAATGTGAGATGCAGGGGCCTCCCTGGTGATCCAGTGGTATACAGACTTGCTGTACACAGGAGACTAACACAATATGATAAATCAACTATACTCCAATAAAAATTAATTTTAAAGCATTATTATGATTGGATGTTGAATTTTATTTTTTGCATCTATTGGTATGATCTTATACATTTTGTCCTTTATTAATACAGCTAGTTATATAATCAGGTTTTATTGGGTTAATTTCTATGTGCAATATAATACATATATAATGCATTCTGAACATTACATAAATTATATACATGTACATCCTATGTGTATCTCAAACAAAAACTCTTAAATTAGCCTTTGAATCTGTATTTCAGTTCTTAAAAATTACAGCACTGTGTACAGATCAATGCACAGTATAAGGGGTAAAGATATTTAATGTCTTATTCAGGTAAATCTATTGGTTTTAAAGAATTTTTTTTTTTTTGCCAGTCACTCCTAAACTCTTTCTGAACAATTGCTATATGCTAATGGTAGACAAAAGAAGTGGTATTGTTATTGAAGATGCAAAATAAAATTAAAGATATTAAAATCTTTGTCACCAAAGATTCAAAAATTAAATACATAAGAATAAAACTGTAAAATCCTTAAAAAAAAACAGGGTTGCTGGAAAAAAGCCGCATATTTGATCAACATTTTCAGTCACATACGTGGATAATCAAGTACTGTTATCTTAAGTCAATTGCAAGTGAAAACTATTAAAAAGCTTTTATTTTGGTATGTGTTTTCGTGTGTGTTAGTCCTCCAGTCGTGTCCGACTCTTTGTGACCCCATGGACGGTAGCTTGCAGGGCTTCTCTGTCTATTGTATTCTCTAGGCAAGAATACTGGAGTGGGTTGCCATTCCCTTTTTCAGGGGATCTTCCCAATCCAGGGGTCAAATCTGGATCTCCTGCATTGCAGGCAGATTCTTTACCGTCTGAGCCACCAGGGAGCAAACTAAATGCTCTTGCTATAAAAGTCTTCAACTGTGTGCTATGAAGGCAGATAAATAATCCTATAGTTATTGAAATACCCATGTGATTTGTGTGATATGAAATATCAGTTAATAACCTGAGTCAGATTGAAATTTGAAAAAGTATTAGAAATTGTTGTTTCTCTTTCTCATAATGCTTTAGGGCTTCCCTTGTGGCTCAGCTGATAAAGAATCCGCCTGCAGTGCGGGAGACCTGGGCTCAATCTCTGGGCTGGGAAGATCCCCTGGAGAAAGGAATGGCTACCCACTCCAGTATTCTGGCCTAGAGAATTCCATGGACTGTATAGTCCATGGGGTCGCAAGGAGTCGGACATGACTGAGCGACTTTCACTTTCACTCACATAGATTTTCTACATGGTTTAATATATCTGGAGTTTCTTCTGTAGGAGTCCAAACGCCGGATGAGTTACTTTTTAGATGTATTTCTATTTCCTCCAGAAGACTTAGCTTTAAATTCAGCTGTTCTTATGTGGCCTTGGAAAATTAATCCCATCTTTGATGAAAATGATGAGGTAAATATATTTTTCCTTATGTATTTTTGTATTCTGATATTTTAAGTACAAGGTTCATTTCATTTTGATACATACTTGCCATCTACTTTTTTTTTTTGGCATATACACACTGCTGTATTTATTTATTTTTGGCTGCATGTGGGCTTTCTCTAGTTGCAGAAAGTGGGGGCTACTTTCTAGTTGTGGTGGCTTCTCCTTGGGTGGCTGCTCTTGCTGTGGAGCATAGTCTGTAGGGCTCATAGGCTTCAGTAGTTGTGGCACAGGATTAGCTGCTCTGAGGCGTGCAGAATCTTCCCAGACCAGGGATCAAACCCACATCTCCTGGCAGGTAAACTCCCATCCACTGTGCCACCAGGGGAGTCCCTTGCCATCTACTTTTGAAAAGTAACTTCATGTGTCAGTATGAGTTTGCGATTAGCAACATTTATGGCCCTGCAGGCTTCAGTTCAGTTCAGTTCAGTTGCTCAGTCGTGTCTGACTCTTTGTGACCCCATGAATCGCAGCACGCCAGGCCTCCCTGTCCATCACCAACTCCTGGACTTTATTCAAACTCATGCCCATCAAGTCGGTGATGCCATTCAGCCATCTCATCCTCTGTCATCCCCTTCTCCTCCTGCCCCCAATCCCTCCCAGCATCTGGGTCTTTTCCAATGAGTCAACTCTTTGCATGAGGTGGCCAAAGTATTGGAGTTTCAGCTTCAGCATCAGTCCTTCCAATGAACACCCAGGACTGATCTCCTTTAGGATGGACTGGTTGGATCTCCTTGCAGTCCAAGGGACTCT